ATATTTCATATATTGTTGTATATATATAACATTTCACATACTATATATACATTCATAGACAGCAAGTCACAATAGACATATCTTTGCATAGGCCCCCATAAGTTAATGCCTGCTCCCTGGCAAATGCCCAGCGAGCTCATGCGTTAAGATTGGCCTGCAAAAGACTACCTCAGAACTACAACGTTCTATCTGCTCAGTGCTTAGTTTTGAGAAGTTTGGCGTCAAAGAAATTGAGTTTCACATCATGTCAAGCTTTTTTAATGCAATTACTTGAATATCTTGATAACGACTCCGAATGATTTTACAGTTTTGAAAGAGAAGATAAAACGTTTGCTTTCTGACCTATTGGTAAAAACAGACCAAAATGTCAGATAGAACTTTGTATTCCTAGGTCGCGAACAGGCACATACGAATAAGGTTTGACCGGTACATACACTGAGCTAGATATTGTAGAAAAAATAATAGAGGAGATCCCCACCTTGAAAAATGATGATATTATAGAGGTGGTAGACGGGTGACAGAATACGGTGAAAAGCAAGTTCGGTCACTTAGATAAATCTAGATTCATGCAAATGATAACGCGCCTGCTTCTTATATCTGTTACTTAAAACTTTTACAGCCCTATACTCCATGCCAATACACCCAACGCCATAACATAAGCTACTATAGACACTTTAGCACACATTTTTGCCCTCATAAGCTCTTATTTTTTTCTTATATGTATAAAAAATAACAGCTACACACCCGCAAAAAAAGCAAAAAAAGCAAAAAACAAAAACAAAATAAATAAAAACAATCCAAAAGAACTAATGTACATAGGAGTATCCATTTATTAGATCATGGGAGAACATCCTGTTGCCACGTCCCCGTCAATTTAAACCCCCTTTTTTTTATCCCTCCGTCGACGACTTGCATCTGTCTCCACCGAGTTTCTTGTCCTCAAGCTCATAAAAATGTCTTTTTCTGATCAAGGACACATCTTTACTCAGCGAAACAATTTCATGGTCTGGAGTAACATTCCCTATTTAAATTGCACACAAAGGCCACTAAGCTTCAGCTTTATTTTCAGAATTGCATACTTGAATTCTTCCTTAATTACACTTTGAAAAATAACCTGTTAGTAGTATGTTAGTCGGATGTATAAATTACACCCCGTAGACAAATATATCTTTCTCCGTGTCTGACATGGAGACTAGAGCTGGGCGAAGAGTCGAGTCCGGAACCGATCCCCACGATTAATGCTACGGAAGAAAAGTTCCGACTCGTTTTTACGAAAACCAACTACTACCAGAA